ATGGCACAATCTCCTTAAGACTGAACTCATCTGGCCCTCAGTTAGAAATTTTGTGTTTTGTGTGTTGTTGTTTTCTTCACTGATTCTTTTCACCATATTCCAAGAAAACTGTTAGAAAGCCAAGAATATACCATATACTTTGCATCTCTCAAAACACCCAGCACAAGACTACGAACAAAGTAGTATTGAATGAGTGCATAAACGAATGCATTCTCTGTGATCTTCTTCAATACCTGCTTTTCTTCCCCAAAATTATAGACTTTTGCTATTAAGATAGACTAAAATGATGAGAGGCATGTAATAAAAAATAAAACACTAAAGTCAATCACTGCGTTTCTATTTCAATTTTCCATTAGGTTGAAATGGAAATGGGAACTCTGAATAAATGTAGAACAGACCATTATGTCTGACAGCAAGATGAATTAGAGCCCAAGATACTGAGAATGCCTGCAAATAAGATTACCAAACACTATCAGTGGTCTTTGAGAGAATTATGAAAAATAGGATAGGTGCCAAAAAGCTGTAGATGGGCAAATGTTGTTCTAACTTCAAAAGGGGAACAAGTTAAAACTTGCCAGTTCCTGACTAGAGAATATGATGTCACTCTCAGGCAAGATTCTTGGACAGATTTGTAAAGGGACATTTGTGAGCACACCAGTCAGGAAGCAATGTCCACTTGGAACGAGCACAGGGTCACCAAGAACAAATCATATCAAATTCATTTCATTTTCCTTCTCTCTGACAAGGATCCTAGCTAGTGGATTGAAGAAATAGGGCAGATATAAATATATATGTTTGCAATGAGGGGTTGGGCAGTGAAAAGGCTAATTGAATCCTTGGGCTATATTAATAAAAGCATTACATACAGTGTAAGAGAGGTGGTAGTTGTTTTCTTTCTCTGCCCACATCTAAAGGATCTCATTTAGAACTTAGTACCACTCTTGAAGAAGGCTTTTGATAGTATCATCTTTTAGAGGTCTATTTGGCAAAACCTCTTTAAAAGCATAAAGCTCGAGAGGATGCGGAGAAAAGGGAACACTCATGCACTGCTGGTGGGAATGCAGACTGGTGCAGCCACTATGGAAGACAGTATGGAGTTTCCTCAAAAAGTTAAAAATGGAACTCCCATTTGACCCAGTGATCCCACTTCGAGGAATATATCCCAAGAAACCAGAAACACCAATCAGAAAGGATATATGCATCCCTATGTTCATAGCAGCACAATTTACCATAGCGAATATCTGGAAACAGCCTAAGTGCCCATCAGCAGATGAATGGATTAGAAAACTGTGATACATCTACACAATGGAATACTATGCTGCTGTAAAAAAGAAGGAATTCTTACCATTTGCAACAGCATGGATGGAACTGGAGAGCATTATGCTAAGTGAAATAAGCCAGTCAATGAAAGAAAAATACCACATGATCTGACTCATTTATGGATAATAAAGACCATTATAAACTGATGAACAAAAATAGATACAGAGGCAGAGCAATATCGAACAGACTGTCAAACTACAGCGGGAAGGCCGAGGAGGGTTGGGGGGTGGGAGGGGGGGGTAAGAGATCAACCGAAGGACTTGTATGCATGCATATAAACATAACCAATGGACACAAGACACTGGGGGGTAGGGGAGGCTGGGGGAATGTCAAGGGGGGAAAAAAGGAGACATATGTAATACTCTTTGTAATACTTTAAGCAATAAAACAAAATATAAAATAAAAGCATAAAGCTCTCATCCAGATTTTTGCCATCTGTTGGAAAATGGAAAGATCTGGCTGGGCCTCCATTCCTAAATGGTCAACTGGTTGAATCCAGGTAGTGATTGCCCATTTGTACAGGACATGCACCCTCAGGCCCATCATAATCACTACCACCCCTTCTTATATTGCCTTCGCTGAGGTGGTGGAACACCTGTCACAAATCATCTTACTTGGCCATCATCACTCATTTATTCTACGTGCCAAGCACCCAAATGCACTGGAGTTTGCAACCGAGGATGCAGTAGAGTCAAAGGAGAGTGAAGATAAGCAGCAGAGAATTATTGTAAATCAACAAATGAGGATAATCATAGTCTAGGGGCTGTGATCAGAGTCTCCAAACATCCAATGGGCAGTCATGGAGAAGAAGCATCTGTCTTGTTCTATGAAGTCCCAAGGGGCAGATACTACAGAACCAATAAATGGATGAGAGACTTATTTAACCCAACATAAAACCACTTACAACAGCCAGAGCTGTCCAAAGATAGAGTATGTGGGCTTTGGAAGTGGTGAGTTCCCCATCACTGGAAATGAACAAGCATATGGTATACTACTGCATTGCAGGTATTTAATCAAAGGACTTCAAGTATCTGATGAAGCAAGAAAAGGCATGAGTCTGAAATTTTTTACAACAGGAAGAAAAACTGCTTTAAGACATTTCCTTTGTTGAGTCAATAAATTCTCCAAAAAGAGATAAAAGACAGTACGTTTACAAAGAACTCAGTATCATTTTTAAAAAATCAAAAGTTCCCCTCACAGAAGTCACAGAGGACAAAATCTGTCTAACTAGGTGGTGTGTTTGCAACAGATTGGTCAAATGCTGCCCAGGGAGAAAGATAACTGGCATCAGGCATTATTTTTGGTGATTGGTCAAACATTCTTCAGAGGCAAGCAACAAAGGCAAGGGATCAAAGTAAGAGGGAAAACAATGGAATGCCACAAAGAGGCAGCCATCCCCGCCACAAAACTGCCATCTGCTACTGACATCAATCCTTCCAGGGGCAGCTGCAGGCAAACAATGTATCAGGGAACGCTGGGCCTGGCAGAAAACCTGCTGCCTTCACATTTCAGCCTTGTGACCTTGGGCTAGTCATTTAACATTACGAAGCTTCAGTTTCATCACCTCTAACACCGAGTTCATGTGAACCCTTTCTGAACCTTGTGTAAACCAAGAGTAGTGATATCTGGGAGTGAGCCACAGAAACTGTAGCGCCCTGTGCACACAATAATAATGATGATGAACAAAGAATTTTGAAAGAAAAGACTCCAGATGGTTTGGGGCACAGCAGCATCCTGACCTTAATTGTGTGGGTGTCAACACTAAAGGAATAAATTTAAACTCTTGTAAGTAGAATGCAGAGGCGTTTAGAGTCTGGAAGGGACAAGATCATTTGGGCACATTTCCTGCTGAAATGCATTACCTTGTACTTGCAAATTAGTTTTTAAAATAAAGGTGAAATGTAAAAAGTAAAAGAATCAGCCAGAGCCATAAATGTTTAATAGATCTTCCAGCAAAGTTCACTGGCCCAGTGGTAGCAATCCTTCAAAGTAATCAGCACATATCCTACCAACCTGTCCAAAACTCAGCATCCCCTTCTCTACTATGGCTTTTTTCAAGGGAACCTCCGTGTATTTTTTAAAAATCACACAATTTAGTCTTAGAAAATATAAACTCCCTAACTGGGTTTTTGTAGTGAGCAGTCAGGTAAATTCAAATCTCTGACAAGGGCTTGTTTCTAAATTTTCAGTGAGGCTGAAACATCATAAGTCACTGTTTTCTACACTGAACTGAACACTAAAAGGGAGGAGAGCAGAGGGTTTTCTGCTTATTTCATCCTGGGGTCTACCCAGAGGTGATTAGCATGCGAGGTTCGACCAGAACTAAAAGGCACAAGACAGTTGGCGAGACTGGAAAAAAACTATAAGGCTCTCCCCTGATGGCTGCTCCCCTCCCAAAGTTTCCCAAGCATCTGAAGCGTGTACAGAAGCTGTGACTGCCCGGCCTTCGGCCGTTCCTGGGGAGGCAACCGCCTTTCTGGGTCACTGAGTCTTGAGCTGCAGCAGCACCCAGGTGTGGCAACCTCAGATCGGCTGAGCCCCAAATAACCAACTTGCCCAACAGTCTACTCATCACCTCAAGGGGAGGGAGGCACCAACATCCATTGAAGATGTATCCGGTCTTTACTCTTTCTAAGAGAGACCACAATACACCCGTTCACAGCAAGGAGAACTGTGACCAGAAAGAAAACAGATGCTAAGAGAGGCAGGCCCCAGCTTCCCTAAGGGTACATCCTCAGAGAAAGGGTGAGCATGAGGAATGGTGCTTTCAGGTTTTCCTTGCCAAAGCTAAGCCTAGAACTCATGAGGGTGGGAGAAGCCTGGCCTGTATGAGGGTTCTGCCTGCATTTGTCTATGCGATTGTGTCCAGTGTCCTTTTCGCCTCGCTATTGTGGATTTAGGGAGGGGCTTCTGAGAGGGGTGTGCACCGAAGCTGGAACACGCAGCCAGAGGTCATCTCACCCTCCTGGCTGGCTCCCCCTGGCACCACGGAAGCCAGGCAGCACCTACCAGCCAACACAGCGCACTGAGCTGTTGGCTTTGAATGAAAGCTGATGACCCTAAACGCTAGTGCATGGAAGGTGACGGGCTGCACACTGCAAGAGAATATATTTTCTGCACCAAGCTCCTTCCTTATACCTAAATGCCTGCATTAGTTTGGATCAATATGCCCCATAACAGTTAATCCATGGCAACCCAGGCCAACCAAGACACTGACAAAGCAGTGCAGCCTCCCTGTGCTACTTCCCTGGGCACATGCATGTGAATTTCAGCCCAGAGAAAGGCACAGAGGCAAAGCAACAACAACATAAAGGAGAAAGAAAAAAACATAGTAGACCGTAACAAATAGACACCATATTAAGGGACTTTCAGGAGGCCTTAGAGTGACATGTCACGGCCAAGATGATGGAGTACCTGAGACACTCCTAAATCCGGGGTCGGATCCTCCTCGCACACCTGCAATGCAGTGATCGCTACCACTTCATAATCCATACACCCAGCACCAGCGCTCTCTGCAGCTGAAACCAGTCTGGACTTGTACAGCTGCCACTGTTTCTCCTCACAATAAGATTATTGATGCATAACAACATTTCATCATGGCAGGGAGGAAAAGGGGGAAAAGCCAAAGCAAGGGAATAAGAAAGGGGAGGGGATGCATGAGTCCCCGGCCCGCATCTCACCTTTTATTTGGGCTTCATATTCAGCAATGATCTCTTTGTCTTTCTTGAACTTAGTTTGAGATGACATCTTCCAACGTGGCCAAAGGCACTGACAGGCTATTTAATTTATATCTCCTTTTCTTCCCGTATTCTCTCTCACACGGCTCTGGTCGATTTCACAGGTTTAGGGGCTAATCTCTTTCACTTGGCTGCAGAGCCAGGGGGGGAAAAAATCCCTCTCCTGGAAGGAAAATAATCTTTACTCGCCGAAAAATGTCTCTAGTAGATTGGTCTGGTCAGCTCCTCTTGCAAAAGAAGAACCACCACCCTAGGAGCACAGTAACCTGCCCCAGATTTTCAAGATTTTTCTTCAAAAAAATAAAAACCAAGAGCTCTCACACACACACACACACGCACACACACACACACACACTCACACATGCACTCGTACACTCATCTGGACACGCACACACACAGTCACAATGCACACACACACCCTCACTCACACCCATTCACCCACTCACACACACACACAGACACACATCCACAAGAGGTGCGGCGCCTCCTTGGTGCTGCAGTCAGTCTCTGGCTGTCTTTCCAAGGCTCTGCTAAGGAGAATGGTCAGGTTGCCAAGGCCAGTCATCTCGCATCCTCCCCTCCCTTCAGC